CAAACATTTTCACAAAGCTAGAAGCTTAAATTTGTTGATCTATAATTAGCTTACATAAGCAATTTATGGCGGAAATATTCGGAGCCAATAACGTCATTACAACTTATTACTATTGGAAACATCTTTATTGAAATAATTCCATTTGTATCATAAATCTGATCTAAAGTATAGCGAATCTTGTCACATTTGAAAGATTAGAATGGCAATGATGGACTATTGATCGTACGAAGAATTTTCCCTCGAATGCCCCAGGTATCTCGTTGAAGGCTTCGTGTACGAGAAAGGAAAAAATGCAAATTGTTTCGGTGCTCATCTTTGGATTTAGGAGCTCATTTGATATGTTGTAGAATGACAAATAATGAACAAAATATCACAGTCTTGAGCTTAAGTATGTTGTTCTGACCTTAAGTCAGCTCAAAATACAAAGGTGGTTTGCAACGATTTTTGCCATGACTATCAATATTGTTGCCCCAAAACAGCATCGTTTACCATGATGATCAATGAGTCAATATTCTTTCAAAGACCATGGACATGTTCAATAGGGTCTACAGATTTATCTGCTTGCTCTCGATCTCCAATCAAAGTCAAACTGAAACGCTGGGAGTCATTGGAAATATAAGCATTTTGAAGCACGGGAAACAGTCACGCGTCCGCCATCTTGTTTTCATGAATTTTGGCGCATGCGCAGCGGTTTTTTAGCCGTGTCCTCGTACCCTGCGTTTCTTTCGGCCTGGGGCAAAGAACGAGGGCTCTGGCACAATCCATTTTTGGCGCTTGCGTAGTTTTCCGGAAGTGAAATATAATCAATGAAAGTCATACTTTCAAAACTGCTTCCAAACAGAGTTCTGTGTTTACTTCCGATCAAAATAAGTATTAGAACATAAGGAACATTTTTGAGTTTTATTTTTGGCAAGTCTTTTAACGTATGCGGTCGTATGCGCTCTTTTACCGGAAGTCCAAGAAATCCTGGTCTCCCTTCTTCGTCGCATGCCAAAAGAAACGCAGGCTCTGGGTACGAGATTGATCAGCAGACAGTCGAGTTGGACCACAGGGAGCCCGGCTGCACATGAACAAATAAATCAACTAAGTACTCTGGGTTGCTTGTGTTTTTTGAGGCCGTGCGTTACACTTTTTTTTACACACAATTTTAACCTGGTCTCAAGTTACTATTATACGTTTACGTTAGAGTGCATCCAGTCAAACTGTTGAATTAGATAAATGTATATAACTTAGATAACTATTTAGTTGACGTCACCTAAAATAGTAAAACCGTGCCAAATAACGGTCATGCTAATCCAGGGGGTTGTTTTACCAGAGAATGAGTAAATAGACATTCATTTGTATCATCGTTTCTCCCCCTGATCTCAGTAGCTGTTTACTCGTAGTTTCAAATTTAGGCGACGTCAGCTAAAATAGTTACTAACTTATCTAATATAAGTGACGTCAACTATTCAACAGTTTGACTGAATGCACTCTAATCTGCTATCAAGTTATTACTGGTAGCACGATTAGCGCAAATTCGAACACAGTACATTTGTACGGAAATTCGAGAACAATGTTCGAACTTGTTGGTGACCGTAACACAATCTAAAACAATTTATACCCCGTGACGGCTAACGCCGAAAAGGTGAATTCCTCGCCCTGTCCGGGGGGTCTGGGGGTGGGATCGGGGTTTCAGTTGACTAGTGCATTACAAATTTAGCCCAGTCCCACAAGGAACCCAAGCTTAATTCTCATGTGAATATATCTTTAAAGTAAATGAATTTATCTAATAAATTATACCCTTTTTATAGATGTTTATTATACTTTTAGGGTGGCTATGAACTTTGCTAATAAAGCACCAATTGTTTTGGCTCTAT